CAAGGCCAGTGCGATTAACGGCAGCGTGTACTTCATGGTGAATTGCAAAATACCACGCTGAACGACGAGCGATGCGATATCAGACCGGCGATCTGACCCGGGATGTGGTTTCAGATCCGATGTTCGAGGGTTGATTAACCGTTGAAGATCGACTGTCGCGCCTCAATAGTACTCAGAGTCCCGTGCCAATGAAATCTCCAGCGTTAGCTTCCAGCGTTGTGACATAAATTGGCGCTCGCATCTGGTTCCCGTCAACTCTGCAATTCAAGGACGGGAATCGGCGGGTGGTTTCCACGTACTCGGCTGCTCCACGAACACGCCCAATCTGTGGGTATCCATTGCCAGAGCACTGGAAAGGCTGGCTACGGCTCGAAATCAGAGTCGTGCTTCGATTTCGCGGACCCGAGTTGAAGCAACAGCCAGTATCCAAGACGCACACTGAGGACAACAAATTCGACAACGACCATCGCTGACGTCTTGAAGCAACTCCCGAGCTGCACTGTGCTCCTCCAAATGCATCTATCGATAGCTCCATTCACTCTCAGCTGCTTTGTACATGCGTCCCAATTGAAAATGATCTCAAACTTGAATTCAAGTAGCACTGTTTTTGCATGATCGCATCATCTGATACTAGACGCCCCAGACTTGAATCTGAGACCAATCGTGCGAGATCTGAGACTCGATCTCAGATGTCTTTCATCATCTGATACGCAGCTACAGTACTTGCACGACCCATGTGCTTGCTTGTATGCAGGTGTACGCGACGGGCAAGGATTGTTCATGACGTCGACGTCATCTACGACACGCAACCAAGATGCCGGTAGCTACTCTAGACCTACCCCTACGACGCACGAGTCTGAGTTCAACCACCTCGACCCACAAGTCTGAGTTCAACTACCCCAACACCGACGAACACCCTCTCTCGATCATTCCATTCCTCGTTTCTCCACCGACCACCGACCATGAAGCTCCACACCACGCTCCTCGCGCTCTGCGCCGCGGCCGCCGTCGCCGACATCGTCCC